CATTCACATATCATTCGAACCACCAATTGACAGAGAAAAAATCTGAGTATCCTCATCTCGAAATAATCTTCTCCGGTGGAGAAAAATAGATCGTACAAAAAGTGAAAAAATACACTGTACAGCCATACTAATCTTGACTTGTTTGAGGGTTTTTTTTTAAATCTTAGTTCTATTTTAATTAAAGTAGTTTGTTTTTTGTTTGTGCAGTTTATTATGTGAAAAAAAAGTAAAAATACGATTAAATAAGAAATTAGATTATATAATACAATATATCACAATTATAGATTGGTATTAGTCATTTTTCGATGAGAAACAACGTTTGATTTGCAAAGATTACTGAAAAAGAGATTTAGAACTTGTCCATAAGTTTGTCCCTGCTTATAGGCATAAAGGGTGGTCCAGAAGTCCTGACTCGATTTGTATAATGAATTTTTCATTGTTAAAGAATATGTTTAAAAATTTGTCTCTATGGTAAAAAGATACACCAAAAGATGCTCTACAAAACTGCCTATGATCAACACCACCCAATTCATCCAGTAAGAAAATTATTTGTTTAGAAATACATATTAAAAAAACGTGCTAATTAATTGGTGATATTTTAGGACAAAAAATTTTTTATTTTAAATGAAAAATGTTGTTGTAATTCGGAAACATAGCTAGCATATTTGAATTACAATCAAAATCAGTCTTTATAAACTTGATTCCCATCTCGCTGTATCACCTGTGCCAAACGTTTAGGTATCTTATCTATCATCGCTTCACATTGTTCAGGTGTAATTTTTTGCCATTCTAAACTGATAAAATCGACTAGTGAATCAAGATTGTCAAATGTTTGCGCTCTTGTTTTTTCCTTTAGCATTCCCCAAACATTTTCGATAGGCCATACATCTGCAAATTTTGCATCTCCATCATCTGGCTCGATTCTTTCTTCAAAATGATCAGCAATAACATTCATAGCGACTTTAGTTCGATGTTTTGAGTCTTGATCATCTTGAAATATAAATTCATCTTGATCTTCTACTACTTCAGCAATTGCTGGAATAGCTTCTTCGTCTAAAAATTTAGCATATAATTCACCAGTCATGTAAAATCGTTTAGAATTATTCTTTGGACGTTGATCTCGTAACCATTGAGTAAAATTTATTGGACCATCTTGTGGTATTAACCCTTTCGTACAAATTGCACCCCAGAACATAACACCAACTGGATATTTTGAAATCGACGCATTTCTTAAATCAGGAGAAATTTCAGATGAATTTTCGGCATACACCACGTCATTTTTACTATTGTAATAACCTTCAATTGTAAATATACCTGAAAAATCAGTATTAATAATTCTGTTCCATTGCCATTTCGACCTAGCTTTTCTTGCACCGAATTTTTTGATTAATTGTTTCGCACAAGCAACACGTCGTACTCTATTCATTCTTGATAGTTTTTGAGCTTTTCTTAGTTTAAACGGCTTCAAATTTAATTCTTTAGTTACTCGTTGCACCGACGTTTTTTCACCTTTAATATTGTTACGTTTTAAATAAGATACGACTTTTCTTTGACTTTGACCTCTTGTTAAATGTAACAAACGTTTTACTGTTTTTTTCAATTGTTTTGTTCGAACAGTTCGTGGTGCACCACATCTTGGTTTATCTTTTATTGTCCCTCGTCGTAATATTCGATTTATTTTTCTTCTTAATGCATCACGACGTAATCGAGGTGGATTTTCATAAGATTGTACTTCATCAGCAATATCACATGCCATCCACGTAGGATTCATTTCCTTCAAAGAAAGAACGAGTCCTCGAAATTGTTCCTCCAAACTAATGCTGGTTGACATAGCTTCCAATTGCTTCGAAAACTGAATATTTTACTGTATTTTTACTTCGAATAAAACCACTGTATTTATAGATCGAACTGGTGAATGAGTACATGAATACAGAAGACGTATACATTCGTAAAAAACAAAGGAAAAGTGATTAGGAATGCCTGGAAAAGATAGTGCGAATACAAAGATATAAGACATGTACAGAGAGTACACATAGATCAAAATATATTTCGAACACCTGGATGAAAGTGCACTGAGATTGTAAAGATGTTATAAGCCGAGATAGGAGCGTGACACAAACAAACAGAATGGAGATAAAAAGTTAGTCCCCTCATGGGACTCGAACCACGCACCTTCTGCTTACCGGGCAGATGTCCTAACCAGTTAGACTAGAAGGGACAACTTTCTCTCCATCTTATACGCATAGTGATTCACCACCTAACAAGATCCAGATAATGATGACGAATACAGTAACTACTGTCAGATAATCGATTATCAGACACCACAAATCTAAAATTGTTTACGTAATGATTCAAAATTCATCTTGTGTATAAGATGAATATCACCAATTAATTAGCACGTTTTTTTAATATGTATTTCTAAACAAATAATTTTCTTACTGGATGAATCGGGTGGTGTTGACCATAGGCAGTTTTGTAGAGCATCTTTTGCTGTATCTTTTTACCATAGAGACAAATTTTTACACATATTCTTTAACAATGAAAAATTCATTATACAAATCGAGTCAGGACTTCTGGACCACCCTTTATATGATTGTTTTTCTTCATCTGAAAATCAACAAGTATATAATATATTCTGACTATTAAATCGTGGAACATCATCAACAAATCTTCGATGCAATTCAAACTCATCATAAAATGAAACTGATGAAGAATCATCATTATAATCATTGAACAGTGATCATGTTTTCAATATTAATCAAATATCAACTGAAGAGAATAGTACTTTGATTTATCAAACATCTTCTCTATCTAATAAAATGTCAACATTTAAAATAAAAAATTCAAATGTTTTATCATCAAAACCAAGTGAAGTTAAATGACGATCAAATAATCGAAAACAAACTTATGCAACATTAAATTCAAATAATAATAATAGTTCAACAATTATAATAGAGAATGAAACTTGTTCTCCACCATCAACGCCACCATTTCCTGTTAATTTTGATTTATCAAATAAAATTGAACGTCAAATTCCATTAAAATCTCAAATAATAAAATCCACATCAGATTTTCAAATTCAAACTGAACAAGCAAAAACTCGTTTAAAAAAAATTGATATTGAAACATTTCCAACGAAAACAATTGTTCAATCAAATCATAATCGTAAGTTAAAAATGTCTTTTGATAAAAAAAAGAAAAGATAAAGATCAAAGAGGATTTCTGATATAAATGTTATTCTTTCTTTTAGCAAATTCAAATAAAAGTCGTTCACCTTTTGCATATTACCCAGGCCAATTAAAAACATTCTAATGAAGGACATAACTCCTTCCCTACTGTCTGATTTTAGATAAAAGAAAATTTTTCGTTACTGAGCTGGTTTAATAAATGTATAATGTAGACAAAAAAAAAGAAAGAGAAAAAAAAGTTCTTTTAATAAATATTTATGATTTTGTGCCCATATAGACATCCATTTATAAAATATTCTACACATATGACAAATGGTATTGCCGCCGAGAAGAAGATTCCACACCAGGTCCATAAGGCTGGAGCCAGATAAGATATAATCGCAGAGAGACCAACACTCACACATGAATAATATACTGGTGTATATGGTTTTCCATAAGCCAATGAAAGCGACAAATTTGTTAAAACACTAATTATTGTAAGTATCACCCAAGATAATCTTTAGATTTTTCTTGAAAATCTTTGATGTGAAATAATGCCACAATCTGAAAGATTAATATACCTGTTGCAATAGCCATAAGAAAACCAAATATAATACAATAACCAAAACACCAATTTACACTATAAAAAAACACACGTTTTTCCCTTCTAAAAAAATCTCTTTTTTAAGAAAAACAAGGTGCACAGTGAAAGTGTTAAAGTTTGGTTCACAGGTTCCCACAAGTGTCGAGTCGTTTTTTAAGGTTAAGAGTGTTTAAGTATTTGAAAAGATGAAAAAATAATTTATCCAAAGTAGTGCACATTTATTCGTCTTTTATCTAACGATACGTTTTTAGTTTTTAACATTATCAAAAGATGAATGTTATTTACATGGAACAAATACACTTAAATTTAAATCTGGACGACCAATAAAAACAAAAATTCTTCACCAACATTTTTTAAAAATCTTCATTCAATACCATCACCGAATCTTCATTAAATTCATATTGAAAGTCAAGCTAAAGAAAGATAGTACAACAAAATATTTTTTAAACAATTCAAATTAGAATTACAAAATTTACCATTAAATGGTCGTGAATTATATGAATCAGATATTCAAGAACAACGCACATCAATTTTTTTATGTTAAATAACGACAAACACACATCTTTTTACTTAAATTAGATCGAGATACATTTGAAGAAGGAGAAACTATACGTTTAACTTATGCATTTTCACAATGATCAGGACCGAATCCAAAGTAGTTTAAGAATAGACAAATAATTCATTCAAATAATAATATTCAATTAATTTGTGGAAATAAAACATTAACGATTAGTATTCGAAATGCAAAACGTTCAAATGTAGATATTTATGAAGTTCGAATTGGTTCAGATATTGCTTGTGCACCTATGGATTTATGTTATACCAAAACAACAACAATCAGATATTCCAATACAAAATGTTCGTTAAGGTGATAAAGTTACATTATCAGTTGAAGGTTTACAAACAACTATCAAACCTCAAGGTATTCAATTATTAAAAAATGGAAAAATAATAACATCAACACAAAAACCAAAAGTAATTTTAAATAAATAATTTAGTATATTCATTCATTTCTTTTTTTAAAGATATCAATTAAACGAGAAGATGATAAACTTTGTATTATATTACAAACATTATCATTAAATTATTCAAATTTATATAGTGTACAAAAAACAAAATGATATTCATTCATCAACACAAATTCAACTTGAACAACGTCAACCAGAAATTCAAGAAATACAACTTGAACAAGATACTTTTTATGTTAGTGATACAGTTACACTTGATTTAGCATTTACAAATCAACCAACTGAACAACCACATTAATCGAAAGATAATATTCCATTAAGAAATAACGATCGAATTTCTATTTGAAAATATTGATAATCGTGTTACTTTAATCGTACGAGATTTACGATTATATGATGTAGGTAAATCAAATAAACATTTTTTTATCCTCATAAAAATCTTTTTCTTAGGCATTTATCAAGTTCAAAGTGGTCCATTGATTGGTCATACACCTTATATAAACTTCATCGAACGTCCACAAGATATACTGAAGTTATTGATGAAACAGTTACTTATACAATCACACCAAATCCTTCTTTATCACATGTTGATACAAAAATTTGAAATATATTATTTACAATTAGAAGATAGTGGAGTTTATGAAATGCGTACACCAAATTTAACTGTTAAAACACTGAAAATTAAAATAATACTTAAACCAATGAAAGAATAAGAAGTTATTTCAGAACAATTAAGTCGACAATCATCTGTTACAATTGATATGAATACACCAAAAGAACAACCACTGTAAAATCGATTTTTTTATTTTAAAAAAAAGAAAAACTAAAGTTTTTAGTTTCTAGTGAATCAAAATCACTAGAAGAATTTCAACCAATGGGCCATATTCCCAATTCGCTTGTTGGCCCCTAACAAGCATAAAAAAGAGGCCATGCACTAACTTATGTGTTGCTAAGGGCGGTGTCTTTTCTTTCATCTATTTTTTTCAATCGTTTTGTTGGAGATTTCCAACAAAACGATTGAAAAAGATAGATGAAAGAAAAGAGACCGCGCTTAGCAACACATAAGTGAGTGTATGCCCCATTTTTGATGCTTGTTAGGG